TGATACTCTAGGGAATGACACGTGGTCTGGAATGAGAAAACATTACGCCCAAGTTAAACAAAGAAATGATACTCTAGGGAATGGCACGTGGTCTGAAATGGAAAAATATTGGACCACAACGAGCAAGGTCTATTTGGTGTGTCTGTTCTCAAACATATAGACCATACACATCAACTTCAAGAGTGCCATCGCAGTAGAGTTCATAAAAATTAATATAATCCTGCCTATACCATATGTCAAGCCTATCAAACGCTTTCACCTTTCGAGGAGTGGCGAAATTTTTATACACAATTTCAGGCGACATGGTGTCGTACCCTGKTATCGCGTAGCTATACTGGGATTCCTCATTCAAATCTTTCTTTTCTGGGAGAACCAAATTTCTGTTTTTATCAGCGATAAGTATCCCTAATTCTGGTAAGGGCAGGCCTGTGTTTTGCGCGTTGGTATACCAATGGCTTCTCGTTTCTGGTTTGTCTTTGTAGCGTGTAACATACCCTGAGATGTAAACTAGTTTGATCGTGATGAGGTATCCATCTAGTGTAATGTTGAATGTTCCTGGCCGCTCGGTTGTAGTGCCGACGACTACTGGGGATTTGTTGAATTTGATCCATTTACCTGGAAGGAAACAATCCACAATCATTTTTAGACAAACTCATTCTATAGAGCTTTATATAATAGCTGTTATACACCTCGCGTTCTGATTGGTTGAGAGCGCGTGCTTTATGAGAGCACACAGCACGCGCGCGCGTTTTCTATTTCTTCATTTATCAGATTATCTATAAAGATTTTTTTTACTCTTTCTTCATGGAAAGATTTGATGTCCAAAGTTCTAACTGTTTCAGTGGAGGCTAAATCATTAATAACATATTTTGTCGCTTTTCCCCCGTCGTTTTTGAGGAGTTGGACCCGGAAAATACGCCCGGGGTGGTACTACCACGCCAACTTGGGTAGGTCACAGTGGGTGCCGCCAGGACCTCAAAACCCTGACCTTATCCCAGACCTAAAATTTTGATTTTACATACCCTACCCCAGACTAAAACTAAGAATTGTAAACCCTATCCCAGACTAAAAGACGGAAAATACGGTTTTACAATCTATTGCAATCAATATCTACTAACGTTTTTATTGTTTTTGTGCCGGCAGAAAGCGCAGCCTATTCGCCAGACAAAAACGACCAAATCGTTAACCCTATCCCAGACTAAAATGATACCCTATCCCAGACTAAAATGATACCCTATCCCAGACAAAATGTCAAAAAATGATACCCTACCCCAGACCCAAAAGCCGAAAAACCATACCCTATAGGGCGGCACATACCCGTATAGCAAATATAGGGGATTATCCCCCCCCGGGAAAATACGCCACAACTCAATCCTTAAACAGCTATTTCAAAAAGATGTCAAATACTGCATTGATACTGAATAGTGCACTCCAAGACTAAAAGGAAATGTGGGTCTCGTTAATTTGAAATAAAAAGTAAATATACAGCTATTTCTTCTCTATAGAGTGTGTGCAACCATGTGACTCAAAATCCCTTGAGATATAAATAACAATTAAACAGCCGCCATCTTGGTTGGTCTAACAAGAGAAGCTAATGAGGAATGCTTTGTTATYGYCAACCAAGATGGCGGCTATGACGTAACATGCACATVCTCTATAGAGTGTGKGCAACCACGTGACTCAAAATCCCTTGAGATATGTAACATTGACGTAACATGCACAGTATATTGTATATTGTTTCGGACAGAATGCACTAAAAATAAAAAATAAAATTATTGTTCATTTCACTTTAGACATTATTATATAGTTAGGATAGTACGCGCGCGCTGATTGGTCGAAAGCTGTGCTTTATTAGTGAACGTAGCACCGAGCTGACGCCATCCGCGCGCGCGAAGTGCTGCTAGATACTGTGACCGTCTTTATTTTTGCGTAAATAAATTCAATACCAAAATAAAATTAATGATAATAATAATTTTATATTTTAAAAGGAATAAAACAGCTTTTTCGGTACTCCGTTCAGTAATAAAGCGCTTGGGAAGYGCCGTAAGCACACAAATGCTTCCCCTTACACTTCTTGAGTGCTCACGTCACTTCCTGCGTGCTTTATTACTGAACGGAGCACGGAAAAACCTGTTTTATTGGTTAAATATTACAGAAGACCCAAAATACATTTCGGTCTTGGAATACACTATTTAGTATGTAGTATTTAAGGCCTTTTAAAATAGCTGTAAAAAACAGATTCAGAGTACTGTACGTCATTGGACATAGGAAATATAATCACTTAATATAAATGGCGTAATTCGCATTTAAATGTAGTAAATATGTCTTTAAATACAATAAAAAAATACCAGTCGGAAAAATACACCTCTTTTACAGTCAAAAAGGCTCAAGCTTACCCCCCTCCCCCTCTCCCCCTAGGTTCAATCAATGTTTTTAGTATTCGAATATCGAAATTCTTTATTCTTCCCGAGAATACGAAGACTCAGGATTCAAAATGATAACCGATTCAAAACTCGAATTCTGATTGGATTAGGGTGTTCCTCATATGGAATAATCCAATGACAATTCGAGTTTTTTATCGGTTATCATTTTAGCCGGAGAAAGGAACTTCCTCTCTCTCTCCTCATTTCCTCTCGGCCCCCAGCCGCAGGCTATTTATATTATTTCGAATCCTGAGTCTTCGTATTCTAGGTAAAGAATAATAAATTCAAATATTCGAATAATKAGATCATTAATAGAACCTAGGAAAGTAAGCTTGAGCCCTTTGGACTGTAAATCTGGTATCTAAATCTTTTTTTAAAACAGCCTATATCTTCTATTATAAAATATTTGAGATATAACGCGCGCGCTGATTGGCTGGCTACCGTGTTTATATCAGAGGACAGAGACACGCTCKCGCAAAATCATTCAAAAATGTTTTATAAAAGCGATATAAAACGGCGCGTGTGTCTATATACTGTGATATAAACACGATGGGAGCTCAGCTACGCCTCGTGTTTCTCTACGAATTCTCTCTTGCTCTACAACTCCCATCGTGTTTATATCACAGTATATAGACACGCGCGCCGTTTTAYATTCCTCAGAAAGAGTACTGAAATGAATGTAGACAGTTTGAATGGCATAGCAGCAAAACTCCCTAAGATATTGGAGATCGTAGTTCGAGAATTTCGTATGGATTTCACCTCATACGTCATAGCATCAGCATATGACATGGAAAAACCTTTATAACTTCAAGAAGCCTCACTCATACTATTAATTTTTTTTGGGGTTATTCAACACCTCACCCCATGTACAATCAATACTTTGAATATTGTCAGCAGGGTGATAGGCACTTTAAGGGATTTTTTAAATATATTTTTAAAAAGTGCGCACTCATTTTAACAAACATATTGTTTCATATGAAAAAGCAAATCGCCAAGAGTACTTAGTTCTTGGATCATTATACTAATGAGATGCCGACATAAGTCAAAAACAAAACGTGCGCATCTGAGAAAATGTCTCGCAGTGAAAGAATATGAAAAGTCTCCAATATATCTGATGATAAGCTGGCTAGATTTTCATCTGTATATGACTAGATAAACGGTTATTTTCTTGAAAGGAAATTTGAGTG